CCTACTTCCGTAGTGATACTGCCTCGGAAACCCAAGGAGGGGTCGCTATGAGTCAGGTTTGACTCGACGGCACACAACAACAAAACAACAACAACATGCATATTAATCCAGGGTGAAAATTCGCAACACTCTCATCATAATCTCAAAGGGGTTCAAAACTTAAAAACTATGAAATACTGTTCTACACGCCAGTATTGTCCAACAGAATTTTCTGTGATGATGGAAATATCCAGTATCTATGATTTTCAATTAGGCAGTGTGCAGAAAAGATTCAACATAAGGTCCCTGAGTGACATGAACAGTTTGTGCTTAACTAACCTAAAACTTGGCAGTTATAACCCACCCAGTGACGCTGTCAAGGAAAGGCTTGGCAATCTGCTTCTGTAATCTTCTGTAAAGATTGCAGCCAAGAAAAAGCTATGAAGCAGGTCTATTCTGTAACATATGGGGTCGTCTACTGATCATATACTAATGTCTCATGGCATTCAACAATCAGGCATACATAGGTATCCTGCCTATTGATCACTGACCTTTAATGTACTTTTAGTATAATGTTGTTACAGCTATTTAAAATGTTAAACACATACGGAAATAAATTTATCAGCCAGAAATACATCTGGACATTATAGCTATGTTGCCATTAGCCTAATATTACAATGATCTCAAACTCTGTTTACCAAACTTGTTTTTCTTAATTATGTCATCAACAGACTTAAAAATAGATCATTCTATTCTATCTCTACTCTGCAATCTTCAAAGATGTAAAATTCATTGCCAAAGTATAACTGAGTCTCTTGAGAACTTACTTCCATTCCACAGGATGTGAAAAAAATTTTTAAAGCCCCTGGTTTATGAGTAGGAATCTAAAACAATTATTTTCAACTGGAGATGTACATTACTGCCTATTGTATTTTGCCATACATAACACACCCACATAAATAACACACACAGATGTATAAGGTGCACAGCAAACACGGGAAACTAAAATGCAAGGGAGTGGCCCATTTTGCAAAAAACTGTGTAATATGAGCATTACTCATAATATGAGTAGGGCTCAAGTATAGCAGGGTTCATGAGGCTGGCATAGGAGCAGGCAGTGTTTCACTTTGTTGTACATAAGGTTGCTATGAGTCAGAGACGACTTGACGGCACCTAACAACAACATGAGCATTAGCTGCATAAAAAATATGGTTAATTTTTACTCAGATTCTCTCCAGCTTGAAACTTAAGTCTCTGTATATTAGACTGAAGATAAAATACAAAAGATTCTGTCAGAGCTCCTACTATCTTAACTGCTCTTTCCTGGTCTCCTTTAATTCTTTTACCATCACTTGTTCCTTTATCCATGGGTACCATTCAACCTTTGTCATTTATTCTATCATTCCTAAATAGTAACCAAATGAGATATCAGTTTTAAGCTTTTATTTCTATAGAGACATACCTCAGAGATACTTTAGGTTTGGTTCCATGCCACTGCAATGAACCTAATATTGCAACAAAATGAATCACATGCATTTTTTGGTCTCCCAGTGAATGTAAAAGTTATATTTACACTATACTGTAGTGTATTATGTGTGCAATAGCATTATGAAAAAGTTTGAAATACTGTGAAAATTATGAAAACATGACACAAGAGACACAAAGTGAACACATGCTGTTGGAAAAATGGCCCTAACAGATTTGCTTGATGCAGGGTTGCCACAAACCTTCAATTTGTAAAAAAAGAAAAAAAAAAAAAAATGCAGTGTCTGCTAAACACAATAAAGTGAAACACAATAAAACAAGGTAAGCTTATACTTGATTCCTTGTACTTGATTCACTAACAAGCACAATTCACTAACAAAAACCGTAATTTCTCATGCGTGTTTGTTTCTATCTCACTTTTATCTTCCACAATTGAATACTACACTATGAATTAAAAACGTCCAAATTAAACTTTTTCCCCCCTTTGAATAAAAACTTCTTTTAATCATACTTTTTGATCAGTAATGCTCATTCTGTAGTCATTAGTCTCCTAATCTGGCTATCTTGAAGTTACTATTTGACTCTTACCTTTGCTTCATTCCTTTTTAGTCAACCTATTTTAAAATCCTGTTATGTGTTCTTTAAAAAAAAAATCTTTCATTGCCATAACATCTTCCCCAGTCCAAGTAACACTATCAACTAATCTTCTCAATAACTGTGTCTGGGTTATTGCCACAGCTCATAACGATTCCTCTAAGTACTACTTCTCATCTTTCTAATCCTGTTATTAGGTGCCGCTGAGTGGGCTCTGACTCATAGTGACCCTATGTACAACAGAACAAAACACTCCCTGGTCCTGTGCAGCTCACAATTCTTGCTATACTTGAGCCCATTGTTGCAGCCACTGTGTCAATCCATTTTGTTGAGGATTGTCCCCTTTTTCACTGACCCTCCACTTTACCAAGCATGATATCCTTCTCCAGGGAATGGTCCCTTCTGACAACATGACCAAAGTAGGTGAGGTGAAGTCTGGTCCCTCCAAGAAGCATTCTGGCTATACCTCTTCCAAGACAGATTTGTTTGTTCTGCTGGCAGTCCATGGTATTTTCAGTGTTCTTCGCCAGCACTAAAATTCAAAACCATCAACTCTTCTTCGGTCTTCCTCATTCACTGTCCAGCTTTGACATGCCTATAAGGCAACTGAACATACCATGGCTTGGGTTAGGTGCACTTTAGTCTTCAAAGTGATATCTTTGTTCTTCAATACTTTAAAGGGGCCTTCTGCAGATTTTCCCAGTGCAAAAGACATCTGATTTCTTGACTGTTGCTTCCACAGGTGATGACTGTGTATCCAAGTAATATGAAATCTTTGACAACTTTAATCTTTTCTCCATTTATTGTGATGCTGCTTATTGGTTCAGTTATGAGGATTTTAATTATATGTTGAAGTGTAATCCATAGTGCAGACTACAGTCTTTAATCTTCATCAGTAAGTGCTTCAAGTCATCTTCACTTTCAGCAAGCAAAGCTGTATCATCTACAAAATCATAGATTGTTAATGAGTCTTCCTCCAATCTTGATGCCATATTCTTCTTTATAATAGTACAGCCTTTTGAATTATTTACTTAGCATACAGACTGAATAAATGTGGTAAAAGGATACATACCCTTCCTGATTTTAAACCACGAAGTATCTCCTTGTTCTGTTCGAATGACAGCCTCCTGGTCTATATACAGATTTCTCATAAGCACAATTAAGTGCTCTGGAATTCCCATTCTTTGCATTTTTATCCATAATTTTTTATGATCCACACAGTTGAATGCTTTTGCATAGTCAATAAAACACAAGTAGACATCTCTGGTATTCTTTTCTTTCAACCAAAATCCATCTGACATCAGCAATGATATCCCTCGTTCTATGTCCTCTTCTGAATCCAGCTTGAATTTCTGGAAGTTCCCTGTCAATATACTGCTGCAACCATTTTTATTTGTTTGTGATATTAATGATATTGCTTGATAATTTCCACATTCTGTTGGATCACCTTTCTTTGGAATGTTTACAAACATGGATCTCTTCCAGTCAGTTGGCCAGGTAGCTGTCTTCCAAATTACTTGGCATAGACAAGTAAGTGTCTCTGGTACAGCATCCATTTGTTCAAAACATTTCAATGGGTATTTCATTAATTCTTGGGGCCTTGTTTTTTGCCAATTCCTTCAGTGCAGCTTCAATTTGTTCCTTCAACACCAATGGTTCTTGATCATATGCCATCTCCTGAAATGGATGAATGTTAACCCATTCTTTCTGGTACAGTGACTCTGTGCATTCCTTCCATCTTCTTTTGATGCTTCCTGCATCATTCAATATTTTGCCCATAGAATCCTTCAATATTTTATATTAATAGACTTTAATATTTCTTCAGTTCAGCTGGAAAAACGCCAAAATGTTCTTCCCTTTTGGTTTTCTAACCCCAAGTTTTTGCACATTTCATTGCAATTATTTACTTCTAATCCTATATACTGTTAAATATTGTTGTTGTTGTTATGTGCCGTTGAGTCAGCCCTGACTCATAGCGACCCCTCCTTGGGTTTCCGAGGCAGTATCACTACGGAAGTAGGATTGCCCAACCTTCCTTCCAAGGAGTGGCT